AAGAGGGACTACAAACTGAAAAAGAAGGCATACATAGACTGCAGATACTAAAATGATAAAAAATAGTATATAAAGTAACTATGTTTAACGGTTTCACCTGAAGAGTTAAGCACTATGTAGTGCAAAAAGAAAGAACATTTGGACCAAGTTGGACCTTCAGGGTAAGTGCCCTAAGGAAATAATGCCTGTTGGGATAAGAATTATCTGGGTAGAAAAAAAGGATGAGGGCATTCCAAACTGAGAAATCAAAATCATGATGAGCAATGATATGGAAGCATTGAACAGTGTGAAGCAATCAAGGAAAACTACAAGAATTTCTATTATTAGAACAATAAATGCAGGGGAGGGTAAGAGAAGCTGAAGAAGTACAGGGAGATTAGCAGGTGGAGGGCTCTGTAGACTATGTAGGAAATATGACCTCACTGAAGGATTTTAAGGAGGGAATATCACAGTCAGTTTTGTTTTAAATAGTAGTAAGGGGAAAGAATTTAAGATGGGCAAAGCTAGAGGAGTGAAGATTATCTAGGAGGCTAGTATATGGTAGAAATAATAAAGGTCTGAACTACCAAAGTGACAGTAAATCTGAGGAGTAAAGAGATTTGAGAAACAATAGACAAAATTGGCAAAAGCTGGCAAGTATTAGAAGGGATCCCAATGTTTCTTGCTTACAACTAGGTGACACTAACTGATCTGGGGAATACAACAGGAAGAGTAGAATGGGATAGAATAAAATAATGCACTAAATTATGAAGATGTTAGGCCTGAGGTCCTTGTGGAAAATCAAGCTTGCAGATGTTTAACAAGCAATTGGATTTGTTAGATTTAAACTCAAAGGATAAGTTATAGCTAAAATAACCCATACATTAGCTAACTCACCCAAGGAGAAAGAAGCACAGTGACCCAAGTGTGGAACTCAGAGTTAGGAAATCATATGAAATTTTTTATAAGTTTTATGGCTTCTTAAAAGACAGTTTATAGGCAAATACAACTATAAATCCACATTAAGCATATATATAGTTTCAGAAAATTGAAAACCATCTAAAAGAATAATAGAATGGTTAAATTAATGTAGTATATCTACTTCAGAGAAGATCATAGTCATTAAAAATTATACTTAGGATGGGTTGGGGCTATGGCTCAGCAGTAATGCACTTGCCTAGCATGTATGAGGCACTGGGTTTGATTCTCAGTACCTCATATAAATAAATAAAATAAAGGTCTATCAACAACTAAATAATTATTTTAAAAAATTATACTTAGGAAGAAGTTACAGTGCATAGAAAAGATTTATGATAAATTATTAATTACTTTCTTACCTTTTAAAAAATCTACACATTATTTAGACAATGTAAAGATATGAATGGTAAAATCTGGAAATAAATACAAATTGCTATATAAATTATTTTGAGATTAGAAGTTGGTGGGAATTGGCCCTTCTACCTTTGCATATCTTCCCAAGTCAATGTATAATATTATTAAAATTGGAAAAACTTTAAAAGAAACAACAGGATTTCCAATCACCAAGAGCCCCTCAAAAAACAAAGTAATGAACTAATATATGAGATTTCAGGACAGTTGCCTCAGATGTTCTTCCCTTCTAGAAGTCTGCAGCCTATCATGTCTGCTAAATAGGCCTCCAGAGATGACATCCTGGGTCTTCAGGGCAGACACATGGCTCTGCCTCTGTACCTCAAGACTCAGTGTCATCCATCACTACATCTCTTTTCTAAAATTCTTGGATCCACCACTATACTTGACCAACTCCTCTTCTTTCAACCCAGTACCTCTTCCATCTTCTCCTTAAAAMTACCCAGGTAGCTAGGTACGGTGGCACATGCCTGTAATCCCAGAGGCTYGAGAAGTTGAGGAGGAGGATCACGAGTTCAAAGCAAGCCTCAGCAAAAGTGAGGTGCTAAGCAACTCAATGAGACTGTCTCTAAATACAAAAAAGGACTGGGGATGCGGTTCCGTGGTTGAGTGCCCCTGAGTTCAAACACCAGTACTCCCCCGACCCGTAAAAAAAAAAAAATACCCAACTAAATTAAATTCCCCTCCCAAACAAGAGCCTGGGTAATGTTGGAGAACAGGTGTTTTCCAAGTCCTGTTTATGACCAGAAACACAAACATAAACAATTCCATGGAACAAGAAATATAGAATTCCTGGAAGGAGAGCATAGTTACCTTTTTATTCTACTGGCAAGGAGTAGGAGACAGAAATTAATAACTTGGTAAATTATTTTGGCAAAAATATAAATTAACAAGCACAGAATAAGTATCTAATATTGCCTTTTGTATTTTCTCTCAGGACTCAAATTACCTTCTTCACCCAGTGGTTACAAATTCAAACATCAGGCATGTAATGCAAATGAGTAAAAATGGACAAGTTGTAAGAAAACAAAATAAAGGTCCCAACTTCCTTAATAAAACTCCTATAGCACAAGAATTAAAACCAAGAATCAATAAGTGGGATGGACTCAAACTAAAAAGTTTCTTCTCAGCAAAAGAAACAATCTGTGAGGTGACCAGAGAGCCTCTATTTTGGGAGCAAATTTTTACCCCTCACTCATCAGATAGAGCACTAATCTCTAGGGTATGTAAAGAATTCAAAAAGCTAAACACTAAAAAAAAAAAAAAAAAACAAAACAAATAACCCATTCAACAAATGGGCCAAGGACATAAACAGACACTTCCCAGAAGAGGATATTCAATCAATTAACAAAATCATAAAAAATGTTCATCATCTCTAGCAATTAGAGAAATGCAAATCAAAACTATTCTAAGATACCATCTCACTTTAGATAGAATGGCAGCTATTATGAAGACAATCATAAATATTGGCGAGGATGTGGGGAAAAAGGCACACTCATACATTGCTAGGGGGACTGCAAATTGGTGCAGCCAATATGGAAAGCTGTATGGAGATTCCTTGGAAAATTTGGAATGGAACCACCATTTGACCCAGCTATCCCACTCCTCAGTCTATACCCTAAGGACTTAAAAAGAGCATACTACAGGGACACAGTCACATCAATGTTTATAGCAGCACAATTCACAATAGTTAATCTGTGGAACCAGATTAGCTATTTATTTATCTACTGAAGATGCCCTTCAGTAGATAAATGGATTTTTAAAATGTGGCATATATACACAATGGAATATTACTCAGCAATAAAAGAGAATAAAATCATGGCATTTGTAGGTAAATGGATGGCATTGGAGAAGATAATGCTAAGTGAAGTAAGCCAATCCCCCCCCCCCCGCAAAAAAAACAAATGGCGAATGTTTTCTCTGATATAAGGTGACTGACTCATAGTGGTGTAGGAAGAGGGAGCATGGGAGGAATAGATAAACTCTAGATAGGGCAGAGAGGTGGGAGGAGAAGGAAGGGGCCAGGGGGTTAGCAATGATGGTGGAATGTGATGGACACCATTATCCAAAGTACATGTATGAAGACATGAGTTGGTGTGAACATACTTTATATACAGAGATATGAAAAATTGTGTTCTATATGTGTGATAAGAATTGTGATGCATTCCGTTGTCATGTATTTAAAAAACAAAAGCAATTAAAAAAAAGAAAACAAAATTATAGTCACAATGATAAACAGCAACCAGACCTTAGCCTTGGCATTAACCATGGCAAGAATATGGTAAAAACTGGAGCAAGAGCTGGACATGGTGCTGCACACCTGTAATCCCAGGTACTTAGGAGGCTGATGCAGGAGGATTACAAGTTTGAAGCCAGCCTGAGCAATGTTGCAAAGCCCTAAGCAACTTAGCAAGATCCTGTCTTGAAATAAAACATTTTTAAAAAAAAGGACCGGGAGTGTAGTTGTGCAGTTCAATGGTAAAGCACCTCTGGGTTCAATTCCCAGTACCAAAAAAAAAAAAAAAAAAAAGGCTGGATATAGTGGCACACACCTAAAATCCCAGTGGCTCAGGAGGCTGAAGCAGGAAGATCACGAGTACAAAGCCAGCCTCAGCAACAATGAGGTACTTAGCAACTCAGTGAGACCCGGTCTCTAAATAAAATACATTGATTTATGATAATATGAGCTGGGCATGATGGTGCATGCCTTTAATCCAAGTGACTTGGGAGGCAGAAGGACCCAAAATTCGAGGCCAGACAAAGCAACTTAGAGATACCCTCTTTCAAAATAAAAAAGAGCTGGAGGTATAGCCCAAGAGTGGTAGAGTACTCCTGGGTTCAATCCCAAGTACCAAAAAAAAAAAAAAGATGAAATGAGGCTTGTCATCAGGAACCTTAAAAGAAATAAAAAGCTGAGGCAGGAGCATGGCAAGCTCAAGGCCAGATTCAGCAATTTAGCRACACCCTTTCTCAAAATAAAAAGTAAAAAAGATTGGGGAAGACTGGGGTTGTAGCTCAGTGTAGAGTGCTTGCCTAACATGGGTGAGGTRCTGAGTTCAATCCTCAGCACCACATTAAGACAAATAAATAAAATAAAGGTTAACTTTTTTTTAAAAAAAGTAAATTAATAAAAAGGGAGGGGACTGGGGATTTAGCTCAGTAGTAAGCATCTCTGGGTTCAATCCCTAGTAAGKAAGRAAGAAAATTTAAATACAGCATATACTAGACACCAGGTATTATTCTAAGCACATGTATTTATTCATTTAATCCTCAAAAAGAAACTATAATAAGTAATAATATTATCCCCATTTTATAGATGAGAAAACTGAGGTACTAAAAAATTAAACAGTTTGAGGTTTCTCAGGTAGGATGTCACAGTTAGGATTTGAATATGGTAGTTTCATGCTAGAATCCATGTCCTTATTCATAATACCTAAGGCATATTCTGGCCTTGACAAAAGGGGATCACCCAGATTGCCCTGTATGAAGGATGAGTTACCTTCATAGAGATAATTTTTTTACCCTAAATTCAGAAAGAAGGCTGTTAAGCCTCATCCCATATGGGGGATGGGAATTCTTTGTTCTGTGATGCAATGATGACCTCAGAGTAAACTGCCATTAGGCTGAGGAAAATGCAATGGCTGCAAGAAGACCTGCCTTGGGTTAAGGGAGAAATGGGTATTCTCTGGAGTCAGCTGACCCAAGCTCTRACTTGCAGACACTGTGGCAGCAGCTGCTTTCAGAGTCCAGGGAATCTGGTGATACTATGCTTGTTCATGGTCTGGCAGTTCCGGAGATGGTGGTACCTTGGGAGCTGGCAACAGCTTCAGCCCTGGTGCTCTGGGGACATTATGCAAGGCAAGGTGGGTGACTTCTGAACATGGAAGTGCAGTTCGATTAATAACTATTGACACTACATGTGAGGTTAGGTGAGGAATCACTAGTATGTGTGTGGCCCCAGATGGATGATGATAAACCCTAGATTTGAGGCTGAATGTCCATTGACATGAGATTTGAAGCCTGATGAATGATCACTGACWCCAGGTGTAGGGTTATCTGAGGAAATGGAGATCTCAAAATGAGGACTCATAACTTTTAACACTGGATGAGGAATTGGGTGAGTGACTACTAACCACATATGTGGGACCAGATGAGTTAACTGTTCATTCTTCATGTAGAGCAGAAACTGAGGACTTCATGACACAGCTTGTATCTTCAAGAAGGCTTTGTGTCTGATAATATCTTTCTCTACTCCCTAGGGCCTACCCCTTCTGGACTTCTTTGGCTCATGGAGGCAAAAATCAGAGGAGGAAGAGGAAGAAGAGGGGGAAGAAATGGAAGAAGGAAAAAAGGAAGAAAAGTCATCATCTATGAATTCGTTGAAATCACATTCTACCAAAGATGATCCCATTGGAGAGCAAGGCAGCCAAGCTCCACCCAAGCCACCCTATTGTTCCAAGAGCCTCCCCAAGGCCACAGGGACACCAGAACAAATACTCACATCACCCACAAACCCCTTCAGATCCTTCCCTACCTTCCAGATCCTGACCAACCTGCCTGTGAAGAACAAGACAACATTGGGGGGCTGCCTGCAGCAGAGAAAAAGCCAGCTATTCTGGGGTCTCCCTGCTCTGCACAGTGAGTCCTTGGACACCATCTTCCTGAGCCCAGATGGCCCCTCCTCCCTGAAGCTATCTGTTTGTCCTTCTATTTTCTTCAACAAGCTTGCCTTCCTGTCTAGGTATAACTTGCTGCTTCCCCATTATCTTTCCCCAACCCAGCTTCTTACTCATGAAGCTCATACAACAGAATATTTGGAAAGAATGACCTCTAATCCTCAGTTAGTTCCATCTCCATCCTCCCCTCCTGTCCCATCATCATCCCTCCACCTTAAGCCCTTGCCTATGAATCACAAGCAAGTCTTATCTGGTGCTAAGGCAYGCACACAGTGGCTTGCACAGCATAAAGAGGTTCCTTGGGTCTCTGGGGATCAAGTGCTGCACCCACAGTCTGAACTACAAAGAATCAGAACCTCCAAGTTCTCATCCTCATCCAAGGCCTGGTGGGGGGTGCCAAGGGACTTCAACCTCCATCAACCCAACCCAGAGTCACTCTCTACCTCTCTTCTCTATGCCTCTAGACCTTTGGAAGTCCTAACTAGATTTGAGGCCCCATGTAGGACCATGGGACAAACTGAGAACCTGAAAGCCTCTGAGCCAGCAATGTCASCTCCTAGCCCAACCCTAGCTTCCCTGACAGAACTCCAGTCAGCTAGCCCCATAGTAGGCCTGACTAGATCTAAGTCCCTCTGGGAAACCACAGAGCTAAAAGAGAACTATCAGATCTCTGAGCCCCCAAACCTGGCCTTTTACCAAACTACAACACCCATGATGGAAGCTCAAGGAACTAGCCCTCCAGGAGTTGCACCTCAATATGAAGCTCAGTGGGGAACCACAGGCCATAAAGACAGCCCCCAAGTTTCTGAACCCCCAAGACCAGCCTCCTGTCAACCCCCCGTTTCTCTGTCAAAACCCCAAAAAGTAAGCCCTAAACGAGGACTATCTAGGCCTAAGGACTTCTGGGGAACCATGGGATACAGAGAGAATCCTCAAGTCACTAAATCTCCAATGCCAGCCCCTTGCCCTCCCCTAGACTCCCTGTCACAACTCGATAAAAACAGTGTCCTAGAAGACCTATCTGGATATGAGCCACAGTTGAGATGCACAGAAAACTCAGGAAATCCCTGGGCCTTTGAACCTCCATGTGTGGACCTCCAGCCAAGACTCTCTGAAAGCAGTTCTGCATATGTCCCCTCAGGACATAAGACTCCATTGAGGGGCATGCAGAGTAGAGAAGATTTTGGGGTTTCTGCAGACCCAGTTTCATCTCCCAGGCTTCCCTCAGCCTCTCTGATGGAATCTTTAGTAATGAGCTTCCAGGAAGTCCTGTTGGAGTCCAAAGCTTTGCAGGAGACCAAGGGGCAAAGAGAGAATCTCTGGGTGTCTGATACCCTAGACCCTACCCATACAACATCTCCAACCCCCTTTATAGAACTATACAAAATCAATACTGTGAATGGCCTCCCTAGATCAGAAGCTACATGGAAGGACATGGAGCATTCCAGAAATTCCTGGGATTCTGAGCCCCCATCTCTTGCCTCTGGCCCACTCTCAACTCTTGTACTAAAGCCCCTCAGAGATAGCTCCGTGGAAATCCTATTTGGTTCTGAAGTTAGATGTGGGGACACACAAAGAAAAAATAACTCTTGGGCCTCTGAGCTTCCAGCTCGTAGCATACCCCAAGATCTGCATGGAGCCAGTCCCCTAGGAGTTCTGTCTGACTCTGAACCTATTAGGGAGAACATGGAGCAGAAAGAAAACTGTTATGTTTCTGTAGTTTGGGGCCCCAACCTACCCACAAACTCTCTTTCCAAGTCCCCAAAAAATGAGCCTTTTGGAGACCAAAGCAAATATAAGCTTGTGAGGGAAGAAGTGAAAGAGAGAGAGAACTGTGGGGTCACTCAGCTCCCAGCCCTCAGCTCTCTCTCTGCTCCTCTACAAGAACCACATACTGACCTTGAATTTATGTGCAGAAATGTGCAACCGAGGGAGGCTCCCCAGGGTCCCAGCCCACCAGTAGTGGATCCCCTGCATCCAATAACCTGGCCTCCCAACCTAGCTGAAGCTCAAAAGATTGAGCCCACCCAGCCTAGCCTACAGAAAGGAGAGATGTTCTCAGGAGCTAAGGCAGAGGCCCCATCCTCCCAAGATAAGGCTATCCCAGAAATGCTCACCGACCCTGGGATCCATGCCTGGCAATGGAGTAGAGAGTTAGAACTCAAGCTGAAGAAACTCCAGCAGAGCCCATCTTTCAGTTCCCCTGTCCTGAGTTCCATAACTCTAGACTCCTGGGGACTCTCTTCCTGCCCACCACAGCAAACTAATTCCCCAAATCTACACCCCCTCTTTTTAAGTTGTAATCCCCCTAAAGTTCAGAGCACACTGTCTCAGTCTGTCCAGCCCTCCCACTGTCACCACACCCACTCCTCTTTCCTGCCTCAACCAGGAAAGAAAACTTCTGGCAGAGTAGAAAAGTCTCAGAAAAAGGAGAGAATAAAAGATAAGATGGTAGCCCAAGTCTCACCCCAGRGGCCACATAGTCAAATGCAGGCTGGTGAGAACTGTCTAGGTGTGGGAAAGCTATCAAACCCTGGGGTTCTAGCCTCAGGCAAAAGACAAGCCAAAAAGAAAGAGAGTCTCAGAAAATTCAAATCAGGAGAATGTGAAAGAGGGAATGCAAGACTGGGTTCATCCACACTCACAGAGAAGAGCCACCCTGCCCAGGCCTGCAGAYTAGCAGAGGCCCTTATAAGCAGATTTCCCCAAAGGTCTCAGAGCAGCGGCCAGAGCTCTCAATTCACTGCTCTCCCTCACCAGCTTCTGCCCAAGGCTACAGGTCCCCAGAATCAGCGAAGTTCAGGGCGAATAGCTGGTGACATTCAGAACCCTCGTCACTGTGAACACTGTCCTTGGGTGCACATGGAGAAGAATCTTCCATCCCCCACACCCCAGGTTCCCCAAACCAGGGGTCTTCTAAGAGTCTTAGACAAATTTCTGGGTATCCATGGAACCCTGCCCACTAAATCCTGTCAATAGAGAAAAAACTGGTAGTACTGCCACCCAGTACCTCATAACCTATAGCCAACCTGCAGTTGGAGGGTGCGGAGAAAATCTAATAAACTAGCTGACCTAGACAAATCCTACTCATGTCTTCTTTGGAGTCAAGGTTACTGGAATATCAATTCCTTACTAGCTTCCACTGCTGCCATATTCCCTCAGGATCAGTTCCCAGAGGTAAAGAACTCAGCATTCTGCAGACTCTTTTCCAGATTTCACAGATGACCACATCTGTTATACACACATCTCTACCGAGTGAGGATATAGGGCCAGGAAAATGCAGCAAAATGCTGCCCTTTAAGAAAAATACTTCACAACAAGTGAACATAAAATATATCCATTTACATGAGCACTAGCCTGAGTCTAGGAAGTTGTTCTTGGTCCTGGGTATGGTTCCCTACTTCATCCACTTGACCCACAATTTATCCAATGATAAATTTATCATTTCTTCTCAGCCCTGCTCCTTTCTCCCTGTGTCAGCTCATCCATCCCCAAGGCCACCAAAAAAAAAAACTTTTTCACATTTAATAACCATCAGGATTTTTCTTCTATAGTTACTAACTTGTTCACAGCCCTCTCCTATTCTCTATTTCACAGTTGTTTGAATACTACATTGTCTTTATTCTGTTGCTCTAATCACCAAAAAATAAGAAATTTTTTTCAGAATTCTGTCTGATGTGTCTCACAGGGCTRAAATCAAGGAGTTAGCTAGGCATGGTGGTGCATGCCTGTAATCCCAGTGGCTCAGGAAGCTGAGGCAGGAGGATCACAAGTTAAAAGCCAGCCTCAGCAACTTAATGACGCAAGCAATTTAGTGAGACTAAAAAAAAWTTTTAAAAGAGGGGGTGGGGAAGCTAGGGATGTGGCTTACTGGTTAATCACCCTTGGGTTCAATCCCTGGTTCAAAAAAGGGGCAGGGCCCATGGGGGTGGGGGATGGGTGGTCAGCAGGGCTGCATTTCTTTCTGTAGGATGTAGCTAGGATTCATTCCTTCACTTTCCCAGGCTCTAGAGGCCTGACTACTGGCCCCCCCACCCTTCCTCTATCTTCAAAGGTAATAGAGGAAAGTCGTTGCATTATTTTGGCCTCTTTTTTGGCCACTTCCATTTTAAAGACCCCTGTGATTAGAGAGTCCAGGATACTCTTCCTACCTTTATATGTAAGGTAATATAACTCAACCTGTTCATGTATGATACAAATATTTTTCCTTATCTGTAGCTTCCCATCACCTAATTTTGCTTATACTGTCTTTTTCTATACCAAAGTTTAAAAGTCTTATGTAGCCAGGCATGGTGGCTCATCCCAGCAGCTTGGGAGGCTGAGGCAGTAGTATCACAAATTCAAAGGCAGCCTCAGCAACCTAGYGAGGCTCTAAGCAACTTACAGTCTCAAAAAATAAAAAGGGCTAGGGATGTAGCTCAATGTTGAGTGCCCCTGGGTTCAATCCCTGATACCAAAAATAACAATAATTTCTATGTAGTTAAATCTACCAACACTGTCCTTTTACAGCCTTTCTAAAACACTTTCTTCTGAAACTTTCTTAGTTTATTTTCAATTGTTGGTGGACTTTATTGTCTTTATTTTTATGTGGTGCTGAGTATCGCAAACCACAYATACTAGGTGAGCACACTACCACTGAGCCCCAGCCCCACTTTCAGAATAGTTTTGTAATATTTATGTTAGATTGTTAATCATAATTTTTAGTGTGATATAAAGTGAAAACCTAACTTTCCCCATAATGATGTCCAATTTTACCAATAACAATTTTTAACTTTTATTTTTGGTAACAGGGACTGAACCCAGAGACACTCAACCACTGAGCCACATCCAAACTCTTTTTAATTTTTAATTCTTTTTTTTTTTTTTTTGAGAATTTTTAATATTTATTTTTCAGTTCTCGGCGGACACAACATCTTTATTGGTATGTGGTGCTGAGGATTGAACCCGGGTCGCACGCATACCAGGCGAGCACGCTACCGCTTGAGCCACATCCCCAGCCCCATTATTTTTTAATTCTAAAACAGGGTTTCACAAAGTTGCTGAGGATGGGTTTGAACTTGTGATCCTCCTGCCTTAGCACCCTAAGCCTCTGGGATTACAGGTGTGCACCACTGTGCCCAGCCTCCAATAACATTTTTTTTTAAAGCACAATGACTTGAGCCCGTTCCACTAAGTGTGCCATATTATAAAATAATGATTATTTTTAAGTATCTGAGCTTCAGATACAGAGTCAATGGCTTACTAATATGATCATATTCAACTTGTCTATTTTTTTTCCTCCAATGTACACAGTTCTATTGAAAGAGACTATATCATCCAAATACCTGAGCCAGAAACGTGTCATTCTTAACTCCTCTGTTGCCCTTCTCCCTGATCCATCATCAAATTATATCATAAAATGCATTTCAAATCCATCTTCACCTCATTTCCACCACTCTTAGTCCAGTTATCATTTCTCACCAAATTAGTTGTCATATTACTTTTAATCCATCCTCCACATGGGCTATAGTTCAACTGACTCCGTTTTTTTCAAGTAGATGTCGTAAGTTTGAGCAAAGTAACATACAGATGCAACTTCTAGACTGGGTATATTGGTCAAACTAGTTGTCACATTTGGTTATTTGGGAAAATCTCAATATAGTATGGGTATTAGACTGATTCCTAACCACCGCCAGAAAATTTATGAGGGAAAGGTGGTACTTACTGACTTAAAGAAGTTATCAAGTAGTATGATCTCACTTTAGCTTTAAAAATGCATAGACACATGTTTACACACACACAAAAAGATTTAAGAGTTAAGATCGTAATATCTCTGGCTATTAGAAATTTTTTTTTTTTTTTTTGCCAGGCATGGAGGCACATGCCTGAAATTCCAGCAACTCAGGAGGCTGAGGCAGCAGAATCACAAATTCAAAGCCAGCCTCAGCAATTTAGCAAGGCCCTTAAGTGCTTCACAAAACTACATCTCAAAATAAAAAATTAAAAGAGCTGAGGACATGACTCAATGGTTAAGCATCCCCAGGATCAATCCCTGGTACCCCCCAAAACAAAAAAATTATCATCTGGGTACAATGSCACATGCCTGTAATCCCAGCTACTCAGGAGACTAAGGCAGGAAAATTGCAAGTTCAAGGCCAGCCTTAGCAATACAGCAAGATCCTGTCTCAAAATTTAAAACCAAAACAAAACAAAAGGGCTGGGATATAACACTGATAAAACAACCCCTGTGTACTTCAATCAGTTCCACCCCTGCCAATACAAAGTGGAATTGTCTATACAAAACAATGAGCATGCGGATATTGTACTGTATATCTGGAAACAGGTTTTTTACAATAAAAGGGGAAGGGCAAATTAATATCACAATCTGATAATCACTTCCCTGCCTAAATTTATCATACCTTAGTTCACTTCTATTCACAACACGGTTCCTGATCTCTTCAAATTCATTCCAGTATTCCCTTGCTATTCTATCCTGCTACTTAAGCATGTCCTGCTTTCTACCCTATGCCTTTTGCTCTAAGTGCTCTCCCTTTCTCTTCTCCTTACCACTAGTTTACCACCATCAAGGACTAGCTCATACTACCTCCAGAGCCTGCTTATTATTTTGTCATGGTATGGTTTCCCTTGCTTACAACCTTATTAAGGACACACTTTTCTGAGAGTATAGCTTTATTTATTTTGTTTTAAAGATTATTTTTTTTAGWTGATGATAGACCTTTATTTATTTATATGCAGTGCTGAGAATCGAACCCAGTGCCTCAYACATGCCAGGCAAATACACTACCGCTAAGCCCCAAGAGTATGGCTTTAAAGAAACTGAAGCTATGTAAGATAAAAAGTCCAAACTCCCAAACCAGTGCTCTTTACATTCTACAATATTCACTCCAATTTGTATATTTTATTTGAAAATTTAACAGCACTCAGAAGCTACATGTTGCTGCTCTGCTTCCTCATTAAAATCCCTGTTCTATTTCATATTGTCCAAACCTATCTATAGAGTCTGAGTCTTTCTGGCAAAGGGCAGAGTTGAAGAACATTCCCTTCCACTACTATGGTCTCAAAACAATGTAATTTTGAATTTCCACTTGACATGGCAACAGTTAATGTCTATGCTTCTCTAATGAGCCTTATGAAAAGTTCAAATCCTATATTCTTAAGTTTTTTAAAGGTCTCAGAAGGGGTAGGAAAGGCTTACAAACCACTTAACATTTGTCACAGTTCAGCTGAACTAATGTTTGGCAGGCCTGTGTTCTTTATGGGCACTGAGTATATAGTGGATCATCAGAGCAATTTATATCTTAGACCCAAATACATTGTAAAATGTTAGTTTTACAGTTCCACCTTTGCCTCTATAGTATATTGTTGGTTCTGTGATCTATTTGATGCCATAATCTTGGTCAAAACAATCCTCTACTCATAGCACTGATCCTATGGAAAGAAGTGCTTAGGGGCTGGGGTTGTGGCTCAAGTGATATCAAGTGCTTGCCTAGCACACATGAGGCACTGGGTTCGATCCTCAGCACCACACTAAGATACAGATATTGTATCCACCTAAAATTTAAAAATAAATACTTTTTTTAAAAAGTGCTTAGCTAGTTAAGATCAAATTCCAGTTTTCTTGCCAGGCATGGTGGTACATGCCTCTAATCTCAGCTACTCAGAAGGCTGAGGCAGAAGGATCACCAAGTTCAAGGCCAGCCTAGGAAATTCATCTTTTGTCCCAAAGGGCTGGGGATATAGCTAAGTGGTAGAATGCTTGACTAACATTCATAAATGTTAAGTCAATCCCCAGTATCAATAATAATAATTTCTTTCTTTTTTTGGGGGGGGGGTCATGCTGGGGATTGAACCCAGGATGCGCCTTGTGCATTCGAGGCAAGCATTCTACCAAATGAGCTATATCCCCAGCCCTCCAATTTTTTTGAGAACACAGGGGTAAGAAGTGGGGCTGGAATGGACTGCCTACACAATTTGCTTCT